CTTGTTATTCTCCCCCTAGACCTGTTATATTTAAGATTGACATACAAAAATGCATACTTTTATAATAAAACCTCCTGACAGTGCCTTATAGAGAGATGTTGATTGGGGTTAATTGTGAAGCTAATGTATTGTGTGTGTTGTGTAGATGCTGGAGAGCATGGTAGCCCACCCACGGCCAACCAGAGCGGAGAGCAGTGACGTCGCCAACGCTGTGCTGGATGGAGCCGACTGTGTAATGTTATCTGGGGAGACCGCCAAGGGACTGTTTCCAGTCAAGGCAGTCGCAATGATGCACTCGGTGTGTGTTTCTGCGTGTGCATTATGTCCACTCTGTTACATCTGACTTAGTGCCCTATGATAATTCCCCTCTCTGTGTATGTCAGATTTGCAGGGAGGCAGAAGCAGCCATTTTCCACCAGCAGCTGTTTGAGGAGCTGCGTCGCCTCACTCCTCTCTCCTTTGACCCAACGGAGGTCACAGCCATCGGAGCTGTGGAGTCCTCCTTCAAATGCTACGCTGGGGCCATCATAGTCCTCACCACCAAGGGCAAGTGGGTATACCAAACCAAACACAAGCAAACATGGGTATAGTTACCAAAGCAATAGTTGAAATGTTAGGAAATAGGCTTGTCTGCGATCCTGCTGGGAGTTTTGACAATGAGATGGATACCTCTATTTTAAATAGTTAATTAAATATTAATCTACAGACAGAAACAGTTTTCTTAGATTTTGGGTAATTGTGTCATTTTCTTTCTCATCTATTGTTTGATGAGATTATGGATGCAATCTGAAAATATAAAACAAAATAAAATGACAAAACTATAGCCAGCAGCAGTAAGCTTAGCTTGGCACAAAGTCTGGAAAAGGCTCTGTCTAAAAGTCTGTCTAAAAGTCACAAAGTCATTTTATCTTAATCTCATGATGAATTCAAAAAGAGACAGATAATTTTACAGCTATTTTAAGTCTGAGTGCAAAACTAGCTAACATGATGCTAACTGGAGCTATCATAAATTTGGGGTCTGAAACAGTATGTAGACTCACACCTCCTGCATTAAAGTGAATTGCTTTTTATGCAAATCTACCACTTGAGTCTCCTAGTGGTCTAACATAGTCTAGCATAATGAGAGTCCTTACCTTTATCTGCATTACATCAAAGAAAAACACATTTTTGCTTAACAAAGAAATTAAGTCATCCAATATAAATGTAATTTCTACAATACCAAGACTTGTTCTTGGAATAGATGGACCTTTGTAAACGTATCCCTGTGAGTTTCTCTTCTTCCCCCTGGACAGACATACTAGCTTTTTAAAGAATGGAGTTACATCTGTTATCTTTTATATCCCAAAGCGTTGCTACAGATTGAATATGGTGGTACTTTTTCCTGCCTTAGAATCCTCAGGTCACAGGTTTATATTGACTGCAGTGTTTATTGTGTTCACCTCATGTTTTTTTGTGTATTTATGTGGATTCTGATAGCCTGCTGTTTTAACTAAGTCCCCTATAGTGCAAAACACATACACCAACATTTGTGCAAACACAGGTAACACTCAAAGGGACTACAAAATTAAAGACATATGCTGAATATTTCAGAAGCAAAACATAACAACAACTAATTCTTCCATGCTACTTTGTGCATGCATTGAAACACATGCAAATCCAGTTGAGCTTTATTTTTGCAAGAAAACAAGACAGTCTACAACCATGCTTGCAGCCAGTTACAATGATAGCTTTCTAATGCAATGTTTAATGTTTACATTGTTGAACATATGAGCTATCTGTGTGGGAAGCTTACATTTGCTAACCAGCTTAAAAAGTACAGTTTAGCCTGAACACCTCAATCCAAATCTAACGACAATCTATCAAAGGAAGTTTGTTATTAGGATAAAATACTAATGTTACCTCTGCATTTAGATTTTTAGGAAAGACATCAGTTATAAATGTACTTTTTAACTCAAACACCTTTAAACAAGATACAAGGGGATGTGTTTCCGTAAGGATTTATTTCCTATATCTTGATGTATAAGGAATTAGTGTTTTTATGTGCCAACACTGATAATATATTTTCCATCCATCTGTCCTCCCCTCTCTCCAGGTCGGCACACCTCTTGTCCAGGTACCGCCCACGCTGTCCCATTGTTGCTATCACCAGAAGCCCTCAGGTACAGTCAGCTTCTGGGGAAACAGCATCAGTGCAGTTTGTCTTACTTCAAACAGAAAGATTGTCTATGACTCACACTTTTTGAGAAATAACACAAAATTGGTCTCTCTGACTGAATTAATTTATGTGTAATATTTTATTTTTGTAATGTGGAGTTAAGATCGACATCCACATGCTTTATGGTCCATATGGACATGAAGACGTCAGGGTCAGTTTTAGAGCAGCGCATCTGGACCTTGTGGACACTTTCAGCACAGTTAATGGCTGCTTGCATCTGGGCTTTATACTGTGACCCAGGCCAAAGTTACACTAATTTACTGTTTAAAAAAATTCGCAATTTTACACAATTCACATTCTCTTCAATCAATTATTTAAGGAACCAAGAGGAAGTGTTTTCATATAGAAAATCAAAGGCCTAAGGATTGAACCCTGTGGTATGCCACAAGTCAGCGAAGATGACGAAACGAGGAAACATAATGGTCAATGACTACAAAAAAGTACTTCATTGCTAAAGCAAGAGGATGAAGTAAGTTGTCAACATAGTGTCAGAAGCTGTGCTTAGGTCTAATGTCTCTTTTTTTCTTGATTCTTTTGATGTCTTGTGTAAATCACTTTGAATTGCCTTGTTACTGAATGTGCTATTTAAATTAACTTACCTTGCAAGCTGGTTGGGAACCACTGCAGTAGTTCTTGCTGTCATGAGTAAACAAAGTTCGCCATGGAACCAGACTCAAGCTCATTTGTGTATTTGTCCAGAAATGGCAGGCTAATGTTATGTTACAACACAAATTAGATCATTTCTCAGCCTTAACAGTGTTTGTTGTTTTCACCAGGTGGCTCGTCAGTCTCAACTGTTGAGAGGAGTGTTCCCTGTCCTCTTCCACCCCCTGCCTGCTCCAGTCTGGGCCGATGATGTAGACAACAGGGTCAACTTTGGCATGGACATAGGTCAGTGTGTGTGTCAGCTGTTTGTCTGTTTGTATGCCTCCATTATGCTGCTCATTTGTAAGCTATAAAGTATCCTACTCAAACTGTCACCTCTCCTTTTATTCTTCCTCCTCCTCATCAGGAAAAGCAAGAGGATTCTTCAAGTCAGGCGACATGGTGATTGTGGTGACAGGCTGGATTCCAGGGTCTGGTCACACTAACATAATGAGAGCTGTCAATGTCCCATAGAAACCTTGACTTTAAATCTGACTGATATGTTGACCAGTTTTAAAGCCTCTTTTCAATGCATATTCTTATAAATTGGACACAAAACCTGAGGCGTCTGCATATATAAAATATTTACTACTGTCAAATATTTTAACAGAATAATTTTGGTAGCATTACACATGTTATTGAAATTCAAGGTATGGTGAGGAAACGCATTCCACAAGAACTGGTATCATAAATATTGAATTAACGTGTCTTTAAAGTAATGACTCCCTAGAAATAAAACTTGAACTATTAACTTTAAGCTTCATTAATGGAACCATTAATCCTCTTATTTTCATATTTTATATTTTTTCTGTAGTGATATTATAACTGCCTCGTTGCATGCCACTGTTAAAAAATAACATTATTGGAAGTCTTAGGATATGGCTTTCTGTCCTGTCCTAAGCTTATCTGTCAGGCTTTGATTCAATTGACCATTACTGTAGAAGCTTTGCCAGTAGATGCTGAGATGATGGTGGGTAATGAACTACACCCATCCACAGAGATGATCCAGATACCAACATCTGACTACTTTTCTCTCATAAACTAATTATATCTGCTTTGTATTGGGCTATCTCCTTCTTGGTAATCTTTAATGTTATGGACTTGAGTTTTTTGTTTACTCTTCCTCCTTTTCTCAGATGCTCCTTAAATATTTTACCCTTGGGTTCTCAAGTCTATTTATGTCCGTACCATCCAAATTCACATCCAGTAAAAAAGAGCGTATTGAGTATGTGGGTTAAGTGTTAGTAACAGTTTCTCTTACAAACTGTAACGACTACTCATAACAAGCACATTGAGACTTAATAAAAGTCCTTCAATGAAAACTGAAGTATGTAAGTATTGTTGGAACGATTTTCTTGTGATGAAACTTAAAGTTCAAGTTTTTGACAAAATGACTCCTTTCAGTGTTTTGCTTCCATTCTTAACTTTAATGATTGACATTAATATTGCATTCATGTGTTGCTTTATTGTCTAAAGCAATGTATCATAAACACAAAGATCAAGATATCTTAGCATCATTTTCCTGTGCCAAAAATGTATCTCTAAAAAGTTATCTTTTCATGAACACAAAAACTTAAATTGTTTATTTTACTTAAGAAATCGATATAATTTCAACCTTTAGACAATTAATAATATTAGGCTATTTAGCAAAAATGGATATGAAAGAAAAATATTCACCTTAAATTTGTATTTAAATACTTTTGTTAATGTACTTACAGTGTCTCTATTCGTTCTTGTTGGAGAAATGATTAGCAGTTAGAACAGGTCAAACGAGTAGCCTTCACTCTTTTATAGACCATATTTCTCGGGGTAACTAATAGCTGTGTATTAACAGAAATATTGTCTACAGGTAAGCTTTTGACATTATAAAGCTTGTTCTCTCTTCGATGTGTAAATAACGTTTCCACATCAAACTCTCCATCACGCGCTCCCTTGTTTTATTGGTGAGAGAGGATGACGCGCGAGCTGTACCTGTGAGGGAAGCGTGCGTCTTGCCGGCCGGGCGTGCAGCCTTGGGGGACGTATGATGGGGATGCCATGGCAACAGGCCGATTAGATTCAAACCTTTGTATGCCCATTTATTTATTTAATATTCCATTTGCATGCGCCGCGCGCCTCTGTGGTCGTACTGGTTCGACCTCTGTGTGATGTGTCAGAGCGAGGAGTGAATTTCTGCTTCATACTGGAGTCTGACCAGTCTAATGAGCAGCGACCTTAAACGCTCAACAAGTTGTTTTTTTTTTTTAAGGAGGCATGAGGAATCATCAGATTACAAGGTTCTCCTTGGAGCAGCTTATTCTTCTGTAGAAAAATTGATCCAAAAATAGAGCCTATTCTTCTCCTCGGTGCGAAAGGGAAGAAAGGACACCGCTGTATCCGGAAACAATGTCATTTAAAGTCTGCAGAAGTGGGATTACATGGCAGCTTCTGGAGCTGATTTTGGGCGTCACTTTAAACATCTGATCAAGTTAATTCCGGCTTCATTTTTACAAAACAGCGCCTATTGTAGAGCTGTCTTCTTTGGCTGTCTGAGCGCTTCAGTCACAGGCAGGCGCTTCTTCCATCATGACTGTTTTTTCCATTCGGAGACTCAAAATGAAAACGTGCCGTGGAGTCTGTAAAAAACATGGGATAGATTTCGCGTAATGTGACTTGTTTCAGACGTGTTGTATGTCCCTGTCGATCTGTTTTTCTGTGTGCGTGTTTCCAGCGCGTGTCAGAATGAATCAGTGCGCCTCGGAGTGTGAGCGCCCGCGTGTGCCATTATGTGCGTCCCTTATGTCCATTAACTCCCCTTCCCTTCTGACAAAGGATCAAGTGTCCTTGTCATTCATCCGCGGATGAATGCACTCTGCCACTTTACCGCTCAAATAATCTCTTGCATAATGATGTGTGTAGAAAATATCAGAACTGGATGAGCAGCCTGGCCACAGAGGCGACAAAGGCAGGACACTGACGGCGAATGAGCGGTGAGCTTCGTTATCTTCAAAAGACCGGGGATCTGGTGCCAGTATGACCGGCGTCGGAGCGCTGACGGCGGCTGTAAAAAGGAGAGGGAGGGCCTCAGGGGGAGAAAAACGTTTCAAGGACGAGGAAGGAGGACAACATCTGTAGAAGAGAAACATCTGTAAGGAAAAGGGGACTGGTTAAGAAAAGCTGCTGGGTGAATGATTTCATGTCTGGATGGAGCTTTTTCCAAGGGCACTGAGGTAAGCATGGCCACATCGGCGGAGAGAGGGCGGAGGTGCGAGCTGTCAGCTCCAGGAGAATGACTCCAGACAGAGACCACTTTCTTTAAGCTTTCTCAATTTAACATTCAGACTGGCATTAACCCTCTCACGTGTGTAATTTAGACTGGTTGATACAGTAAACACTAGATTTCCTAAGAGGGGAGTCACAGGTTATATTCACCCTATTCTCACCCTCCTCCTACCCCTGGAGCTGGGATGGATGGAGTTACTGGAGGTGCAGGTACCCCCAGTAGTGCAGGGGGGTCTGGGGGTGACAGCCTCCCCAGACGAGGGGACTCAAAGCGGCGCAGTAAAGGTAGCCTGCCCTCCCCAGGCTACAGGCTGTCCCAGGCCTCTCTAGAGGGGGAGAAGGGCTCCTTCGGGGCAGACAGCTCTTCCTTAAGTGGACGTGGCCGCCGCCTCTCCATCATGAGCTCCTCTACCCGGGATGGCCTTCCCTTCCGGACAGCAGGCACCCCGACAACCCCAGTGCCCCTGCCACCTCCACCCAGCTCCTGCTCAACCACAGCCCACCCTCCTCGCTCAGTGGGCTTTGCTGCCTCCCGCGCCGCCCTGACCTCCACCTCCTCCACTGGGACAGGGGTGATGGTGGTGGCTACTGGTCCAGAGACCACTACCAGCACGGCATGCAACACCACAGCAGGGACCCCTGAAATGATGGGTCAGTCTGCACTGGGGGGGTTTGGGATGGGGCTGGATGGGGAAGACTATAGCGCCTCCAACCAGAGCACCTTCATCCAGAGACAGTTTGGAGCCATGCTGCAGCCAGGGGTCAACAAGTTCAGCCTGCGCATGTTCGGATCCCACAAGGCTGTGGCTCTGGAGCAGGAGAGACTGAAATCAGCAGGGGCGTGGATCATACACCCCTACAGTGACTTCAGGTATGGAGTCCCACACAAATACACACACACAGCTTTCTCTGCATTAAGCCTGTCACACTGATGTTGGTTTCAATTACTAGAGCCACTTGTAGTGCATAGAAGACATATAATGTTCTTTTAGCTGCAATATGTATAAAGGACATCTGAAAGGAAACAGAAACATGCAGCAGAGTAAATACAGTATATATTGCTGGAGACCAAACAAAGGAGTATGTTAAGGTTGTGGGAGGATTGGAGAACACGTCAAAGATGCAATGGGAGAATGAGTCGCTGTAGGAAATATAAGCAGAGGATGTTTGATGAGCTGAAAGGCTGAATGAAAAAAGGGAGTGGATGAAAAGTCCATGGGGGGCATGACAAAGGCAGTGAGAGAGAATGATGTAGTTGTGCCTCCGTGATGGACACCATGCAGCAGTGTCACAGCTCCATTTTTTTAAATGAATTAAGTGATGATGAATCCTTACTGTAGTATTAGTTTCCAGTAGAAATAGTCTCAGCGTCAGGGGTGAGAGTATGCAAATAGAGAGGACAAATTTAGCCACAAGGCGTTTGGCTGATGAGAAAGCAGCGAGAGATGCTTTCCATGTCAATTAGGGAAAATGTTAAGTTTGTTTTAATTTGATCAGAGGATGAACTCAGCACACACACCCCTGCTGGTCACTTCATGCAAGGACATGTCCTTTCAAATGGTAAGCACAACAATCAATCACACTTGTAGGGACAAAGACTATTGAACTTTTTTCATTTTTGGTGTTTCTCAAGTGAATGTCGTCCAATGATGATAAAAACATCAACTTGTTAGGCATTTCAAACAAACAAGTTGCACATATCCTATCAGACTTTAAAATGCACTGGTTGACTTGTAAAGTGTTGGTTGTCATGCTTTTCATTGGTTTATTTAAAGACAAATAAACTCCAAAAATGTGCAGGTGGACAGCAGAGAGAGAGGGACAGCATCCATAAACTCCAGACAGACTGCAGCAACAATGGATGACTTTATCCCCAAGGCTCCTGGCCCACTTATGTACACGATCACACACCCCACAAACACACACACACACACACACACACACACACACACACACACACACACACACACACACTAACACACGCACACACACCAGAGTGAAACACAGCCGTTTCTTATTGTCTGTCAATTTGATGATCACTCACAAGTGCTGCGTATGAGTCTGCTCACAGGAGATATACGGTGAATGAGGTCATTAAGAAATGGGTGAAAGGGTGTGTGCACAAATAAAATTCCTCAGAATCTCAGCCTTTCAGCCACTTACTGATAGCCAAGATGGCTAAAAATGTTATAAGTCCTAATTAGCTCGTCGCAGAATAACAATTGGATTGTGAATAAATGATGTATGGCATACTTAAATTATGCAGGTTAAGTATGCATAATGCATCATTTAGTCATCTAACTTTTCAATTAAGCACCTGTACTTTGGAGCAGCAGCTGAGGTGGAATGTCGTGAGGCCTGACTGTGAGAGAAGGATAGACAAATGACTTCTAAAGCCCCTTTATATGTTTTTGTCCATTTATTGACCTGGAGTGAAACTTCATGTGGGTACACAGACACCACCTGTATATATTCAACCAACTGATTGTCTGTCTGTATTAAAAAGTGAATCATATTCAACACATGGCCTTGGCATCCCTGACGTTGCCCATTGTGGAATGCTGTTTTGAATCCTTGAGTTGTACATTTTTGCTTTTCATTATCTTGTTTCTTTAGAGCCAGAAGCAATCATATTTGGAAAAGAGGGTGGGGCTTAAGAATGGCAAAGGTTAATCAAATGCCAAGTTATTAGCTATCCCTATTGTACGCTTGGATCATTAATTGCATCCTTAATTCATGCCTCCTATTAATTTAAAATAAAAGTGGATTTAAAAGCTAATGAGTTACATTTGGCCTATGTCACCTGTGACGACTCCTGTGGATCTCTTACATATGTAATGTTTTCTGACAAAAAAATAAATCTTATTATTAGTTTTATTTTAAAGGTCTAATGTGCAACTCACAACTTTTTTTTTAAGTCTGTTTTGTCAGCTTGTTGTTAATTGCCTTGTATGACACCTACCTCACTGACAGGGTGACAGCTACATTAATAAGCCATGTAGACATAATAATTTGTGTTGACGGTCTACTTTGCTTTTTATGTTGTGTAGAGGCATCAGTAGACCTTTATCAGTGTCGATATAAGTCTCAGTTTCATTACTGGGTCAGGAACTGCTAGACTGCTCTAAAACACATCCTGCTTTATCTTCAATTTAACTCTTAATGAATGCAATGCTGTATTCAGGAAGACATTAAACTAGCCATTTATGTCACCAGTTTATTAGAAAAATCTTTACTAAAGTATACATTCAAAGAGAAAAGTTCTACGCTGGAGCAACAAGACGCATGCAGAGTGGAAAAGAGAGGTGAAAACAGAAAGAAAAAGCTGTCACCACTGAGGAGTCGTACAGCTACAGGGCTGGTGGCATAACACATATAGGAACAGAGATTTATTATGTAATGGTCGGATGCTGTTGTGCTTGTTTGTCTGTAGTTTGGCAGGATGATGGGTGGAAGCATGCTGGGAACTGACATCTGGCCAACAGCAAGTACTGTAACCAATCAGAAGCTTCTCAGGAGACACTCGGCCTCAATTAAAGTAGAATTAGTGTTCGGTTTGTCAACAGCTGAGCAGGTAGATGCAGGTCAGTTCTCCGGCAACACCTCTTAATGTTCAAAATGGAATTCTGATGAGACTGTGGAAAACCACTCTGATTGCATTTGCAATTCCTATGTGTGTATGAGTGTGTGCACCTGAACCCCACACATCCAAGGGCTGTGTAAATCCCCAGTTAAGAGATGAGAAAGTGGGCTTCGTCTGGTATTTAGCCCAACATGAAAAACATTTTTGTTTGGATGTTTGTCTCTTGTCTGCTTAGTTGTTTAGCTTGTTTGACGATAAACTGACCTTGAATTAGCATTCAAATCTCAGCAACCACAGAAGAATCTAGTTCACAGAGGTGGACTAAAGTGCATCGACATGTTTAACAATCAATTAAATGCATTACTCTGAAAGAAAAACACTAACAGGGTCATTAACCTAATTTAAAATGTAAATGGATAAAAGTTTGTTATGCAATTCTAATCCATTTCACTTTTTGTCAACTTCAGTGAATATCTCCTCACTGTTGGGATGCTGGCGGTGTAGTGTAGTCCTCAAGGTGGGCGACCCAGGTTCAAATCAGGCCTGTGTGTCAGTCCCCGCTCTCTCTCTATCCCTAATTACTGACTCTGTCCACTGTCCTATCTCTCAGATAGGGGCACAAAAAATTGATATTTAAAAAAAAAAATCTCCTGACTGTCGGCTAGCTGAGTCATAGCAACAGGTGGCAATGGTTTCTACTACCTACTTGCCTCTTTAATATCCTTATATATAAATATTCAACATGCTATATATATATATAATTTACTCACAAAAATACAAACAATTTGTAGCGTGGTATGATTGACAGAATTCAAATGTAGCTTCAAGGTCAGGAACAAATTGCCTGCCTCTCTCTAGACTGAGCTACAGATTCTCTGAGTCTGTGTTGCTGTAAATAATCCCTGTATTTATTGGAAGTGATTATGAAGTGATACATTTGCTAATATAAGTGACAAAGTCAGGCAGAAGAGTGTATGTGTGTGTAGCAGAATGATGACTCATACTTAATCTTCATCAGTCTAACGATAGCGTCACACCATGAGGTTGTGTTACTAAATTAGCGCTCAATAGCAATCGACCACCGAGCTGGAGTGTACTGTCTCACAGAGCCAGAGTGAAGAGAGAAAGAGAGACGATGCAGGGAGGAGCGAGTCATTGATCCGGGTTGAGGTGATGGATAAAGATTGGAAGGATTAAGAGGAAGTGGACAGAAAGATGACAGGAATCGTCTCCAGATGATTGGATCGCCTCCTCTGTCAGACTTTAATCACTCACAATATCTCAATGTCTGTGGCTTTGTCATCCAGTAATGCCCACCAGCATGAAATATTCCCAAGGTTAACTATCATTTGCTTCCCCATTGTCTGTCTCTCTTTCAATTCAATTCTGCTCTAATTTTTAGATTTTAAAGATAAAGGATGCTCTCTAAATTGCCCGAGCATTTGCAAAGGATAAAACTGATGTACCAGTCCTGCACTTGGACAAGGCTACAAAGACGATTTGGCACCATTAAGCATCATGGATGATTCCAAAGTTATTATACTCTAGTTAAGTCTAGCCCAAAAAAAAGAAAAGGTACCATATATAGCAAAAACATTAACATATGACTTTTTTTCAAGAAAAGGAAATGTTTAAAGGATAAGCTGAAAGAATGATGGGGCTGGTCACAGGAGAAGTGTTAAAAATGTTCGCAACATTTACATTTAAAATTCTCCTTTAAAGGTCACTTCATTCATTTCCAAAAAAGCAATTTAGTCTTCAAGAAAAATACCAACCCAGCTGGTATGATATGCAGCATTTTATCCTCCAATGGTCTCCACATCTTTCTCAAATCTTCCAAAAAATAACCCTGATTAAGTCATCAAGGTTATCTCAGAATGGACGTGATATTTCAAATGGGGACCCAACTTATTTGGATCTTGAATCACACTAGACCCTATAACTAGATATCTCTGCCTCTCCTTTTTTTTTAGTCTATGTATCACAACTTTATGGAGCATGATGCTGACTGTATGAACTAAATCACCTTTCAATGTCAGAGGGGAACAAGCAGAAACTTTATAGATAGATATTTAATAATTGATTAAATCATACAACACTAATCGTTTTGTTTTCGTATACATTTTTAAAGTTGCTTCAAGGCCACCCATGATTTATTACATATTTTCCAACAGAGACGATGCTGTATCCTGCAGGCTTGACAAGTTAGGTCATTTCCAAAATGTCTTCAAACCTGCATTTGTTCTAATAGACTCCACTGGTTTTATAAAGAAATCCAATTGTAAAGATTAGAAAGTCATTAGAAAAGGCCGGCCTCTCATTTGATTTACCACATCACATATATTTTATTGTAACTTTTTGATTTCAGTTTCTATACTTTTCAAGAACAAACCAATTTTATTTCTGTGTTCTATGGACCTTCATTTGATTAAGCAGGGTATGCTTTAAGTTACCTTCCTTATGATGGAAGTATTTGAAGTCCGATGACAGTGGCCTCTCAGTCAGGACAGGGGAACAGAATGTGTTGGCCCCCATGCTCTGATCCCTTCTGGCTCCTTAAAAAAAAGAGGAAAAATGTTCAAATCAAGGATTTAATCTGAGTTGAACATCACTGTTTCTGTCTGTCTAGATTCTACTGGGACCTGGTGATGTTAATGTTGATGATGGGGAACTTGATCATCCTTCCAGTGGGCATCACTTTCTTTAGAGACGAGAACACACCCTCGTGGATAATATTCAACGTGGTCTCTGACACTCTCTTCATGGTAGACCTGGTTTTAAACTTCAGGACCGGCATCATAAAGGAGGACAACACTGAGATATTACTGGACCCAAGGTGAGCAGAGACATTTCGGCATGTATCTGTCTTACATGTCAAGGGTGAGGGCATTGGTTATGTGTCGTGTGTATACTGTACAATAGCAATACAGCTACTGTGAAGACAAGAATTTCAATTTGCGCCTCTGGCCTTCTGCTGGATTTTTTCAGACAATCTATGAGTGTCATGTTAAAAGGTGACATCCAGCTGCCAGCAGAGTTGCAGTCCATGTTCCAGTTTTGTTCCTGTTCAATACTGATTCCTTTATGGGAGCCAAATGTAGATCACAGCACCTATGTTTCCTCTCACTCAGGGCGATTCGTCAGAGGTACCTGAAGAGCTGGTTTCTTGTGGACTTTGTGTCATCCATCCCAGTGGACTACATCTTTCTCATGGTGGACAGTCTGGACTCTGAGGTCTACAGGACAGCCAGGGCGCTGCGCATCGTTCGCTTTACCAAAATCCTTAGCTTGCTTCGACTGCTTCGCTTGTCCAGACTCATTCGATACATCCACCAATGGGAGGAGGTGAGAAACAGGAAATAGAAAATAAGAGCTCATAAAGGAAATAGAGATTTTTATGTGAACACAAGCAAGCTGATTTAATATTGGATTTATCACTCAAAACAAGCCTTTTCACAAGCCAAGTGAATTGTGCATTGAATAATACGCCTTGATTTAAAATATTAAAACCCAGTTTTAAGGTTGAACTTAATCACTCTATCCATTATATGCCCCTTTCTTCTTTTTCCGGCTCATTCCTTTTGCTCTTCCTCAGATCTTTCACATGACCTATGACCTTGCCAGTGCCATGGTGAGGATTGTTAACCTCATTGGTATGATGCTGCTGCTGTGCCACTGGGATGGCTGTTTACAATTCCTGGTCCCCATGCTGCAGGACTTCCCCCCCGACTGCTGGGTCTCCAAGAACCTGATGGTGGTGAGCTCTCAAACCAGTAATCTGCATGATAAAAGGATAAAGTCATGCAGGTTTTTTTTTTTGCCAAAAATGTTAAACATCAATTCTTGAAAACACAAAAAAAAATGTAGCCCTTCTTTCCATCATGTTGATGTGAGCAGGATATGTTAGATTGCCTTGAGGGAATGCTTAGGGAATTTTTTTAAGGTTGAATGCGAATATAGCTTCTCAGCCAATTCAGCCTTACTGAAAAGAGGATTTGACTGAAAAATCTCTCACAAAAGATTATACCAACTGTGGAAATCTCCTTGCTCCAATCAAGAACCTGATCAGCCTGCAGTTATAAGATGTGTCTGCTAACAGTTGCATTTCACTGCTTAATGCTTGTGGAGCATGTCTCCTGTTATGAAGTTAAAGTAAATTATTCTGTTTCTGTTTCTAGGCCTATGTATTCTTTATTATTTTCATACACTAAAATGTACCCCTGTTCTGTTGGAAACACAGGGCTTAATCTTAACTGCAGATGACATTTTCTTGTGTGCAGGGAAGAAAAAAGGTGACATTCGGTTTTAGCTGAACGTGATGCAGAAAGTGCTATCTCAGTTTCTTTGAAGAAGGTGCAAAACATTTATTTCTCATCAGTGTGAAGCAATGATTCAGACAGGCTCTGTGTTTGGTTATCTGTGTGTGTTCAGACTGAGGACGTTTATTAGATTCCACATTGTTTGCTGCTTCTCTGTGTTAATTGGCATGTCCAGTTGGAATTCGATTGACAATCATCATCATTATCATCTTCACAAAAAATTAAAAGATTTTTCAATTAAAAAAACCTCAACAGAGATCATGTAGAGGTGTGAACACACTCAAACAGATGAAGGCTTGGGGACCTGCTGGAGATTTTCTTCACGTGTGTGCAGGCACAAAGACATGGACACAGATGAATGCACACAGATACACAGTTGTATGAATAGCTGAGTCATGTCTCTCAGCAGTTGCCCGGGTGACTGTTGCTAAGCAGGTTGATGCTGGGATCTTCCTAGAGTAAGTTCCCTCATCTGTTGGACCATTAACATCTTAGTGTAATTGGACTCACTCACACAGCACCTTAAACAGGAACACGCGCGCACACAAGCTGGTCTTTTACTTATTCAATTATCCACTTGAACTTCCTTTACTGCCTGTGTTATGTTAAACTTCCTGTTCTGATTTGCTGCCGGGTTTTGACGGATAAATTGCTCTATTGTTACATGTTATAATCTCAGCTGTGTTCTGAAGTGGTGAGGCTGAGAACCTCTGGGGGGAAACAGTCTATTTAACCTGACTAAAATAAGAACAGTTCAATATTGCCGCACCTTTTAATTAACACTTGAAACTTGTTTTAATCCTTGTGTCACGATCTCTGTCTGCCTCCCACGCACAGAATGACACATGGGGTGTGCAGTACTCCTATGCTTTGTTCAAAGCTATGAGCCACATGTTGTGTATCGGATATGGTGCCCAGGCTCCAGAAGGCATGACTGACGTGTGGCTGACCATGCTCAGTATGATCGTAGGTGCCACCTGCTATGCCATGTTCATCGGCCACGCCACCGCTCTCATTCAGTCATTAGACTCCTCCCGGCGACAGTATCAGGAGAAGGTAAAACATGACATTCATCCATCTGTACTGAGTCTGTCTCTCCTTGTATATTTCTAGGAATCAAACCGGCTCCTATTGATTTAATCCAGCAAGCATGAAATCTTTTGTGCTTGCTGTTCTGGAATGGTTGAATTTTCTACTCTTACTCAATATAGCGATCATTTCTCATCAAACTATTGCTGAACATTTTCTTTAATAGACAAATCTAGAGCTATCAACATAGGATAGGAATCAATCATGAGTAATGGAATAGAGAAATCTCTTTTACTTTGACATGCTTTTTTATTTTCTACACAGAATGTATTCTGGTTAGTCCTCTGCAAGCAAACACAGATTTCATTTTCACTATTAAGACTTGATAATATGGAGCCCTGAATATGTGAGTTAAGGATTAATTGAAGATGCAGTTGTATAAACATAGTCCATGGGTCATATGGAGAAGTTGCATTGTTTAAAGCAGAAGACTGCTGGAAGGATTGGGAACCAGTGGACTTGATTTTTTTCACCATCTGATAGTGACTGTTTGCAGATTGCTGAACTGTGCATGTGTGTGTGTTGTATTATCGCAGTACAAGCAGGTGGAGCAGTACATGTCATTCCATAAACTTCCTGCTGATGTTCGTCAGAAGATCCATGAGTACTATGAGCACCGCTTCCAGGGGAAAATGTTTGATGAGGAGAACATCCTGGGAGAACTCAGTGAGCCTCTCAAAGAGGTAATACATTCACTAATAACACCCACAAAAGTACACACACAAACTGCAATTATCTGTCCAGTGAATCTCTCTTTTAAATCTTCTATTCTCTTTTTATCTGTTCTCATTGTCTAGGAGATAGTCAGCTTTAACTGCCGCAGCTTGGTGGCTAACATGCCACTGTTTGCGAACGCTGACCCCAACTTTGTGACTGCCGTGCTGACCAAACTACGCTTTGAAGTGTTCCAGCCTTCAGATTTTATCATCCGTGAGGGCACAGTTGGAAGGAAAATGTACTTCATCCAACATGGACGAGTCGGTGTGCTTACCCGTGGCAACAAGGAAACCAAATTGAGTGATGGTTCATACTTTGGAGGTGAAAACATGCAGCATTGTATTGATGTATAAGTTATTTAAGAAAGAGTATCATAAGAAGACAAGGGGAGATGTTTGTGCATATGTACAGGGGGGTCAATTACAGTATATCACAGCCTTTCTTATACCGCCTATTCTGTTGTTCCTCTTTTCTTCTTCTTCTATTGTCTTTCCTCTCATATTCAGAGATCTGTTTGCTGACTCATGGGAGGAGAACAGCCAGTGTTCGTGCAGATACATATTGTCGTCTGTACTCTCTCAGTGTGGACAGCTTTAATGAGGTGTTAGAGGAACACCCTATGATGCGGCGTGCTTTTGAAACTGTCGCTGTTGACCGCTTGGACCGTATCGGTAAGTGTGTCATGAACGCAAAATGTTCTCAACATCTTGTCAATGCAGTGTCTTGCTGTTTTCTATTTAGTGTTCAATTCTACAATGTACTTTGCAAAAAGTATCTGATACTTGAAGCCCCAGGAGCTTCTTTTAAAGCACTCCTCCAGCATATGTTGTCTGTCTTTACTTCCAGTCCTTAGGTAATTTTTTGTTATCTTATCTTATTTTTCTTCAGGGAGAAAGAATTCTATGCTCCTGCGAAAGTCCTCCCAGGCTGGTTCTTTGGGGGGCAGCATAGGTCGCGGTGGAGGCCGGGGTGGAGGGGGTCCAGGAGCTGGAGGAGGCCTTGCAGCAGGCAGTCTTGGCTCATGTGACAGCATGCTGGTGCAACAGATAGTCAAACACGACAGCATGCCCGCCATGCAGGATGCTATTGCAGCTGCCACTGCTGCAGGAAGAGGTGGAGTCATGGGAGGAAGTGGCACTGTGTCTCCTCGACCCCGCCCTGTCATTTGGGCACCACTGGTTCATGCCCCTCTGCAGACAGCTGCTGCCACAAGTAATGTAGCCATCACACTCATGCACCAGCAGCAACAACAGCAGCTCCAGCAGTTGCAGCATCAGCATGCACTTGGAGGTGCTTTCTTCCTGCCCTCTCCTCTTATCTCTCCCTCTCCCTCCTCCACTTTCCCCCTCGCATCTCCTCGTGCCCCTGTGTTACAGCCGCTCCGCCCCTCTGTGAGCTCTTTAATCGGGATGATGGCAATTGGTGGGATGGGTGGTTTGTCCCCAAGAGGATTTCCTCTCTCTCCCTCGACCATGGGGCCTTCTGGTGGGGTCACATCACCCCCTATCGCTAAGACTCCACCCTCACCCATGCCAGCCCCCGCGGTCCCAACTTCTGTCCAACAGGGTAGGACTCTTCATTACAGCCTCCGCCCCCAGGCTGATAATCCAACAGGGATTGCTGGATCACTGGGAGCCCCTTCAGGTGGAGGGCCACCAACTCCATCCATCCACAAGGTACATACCACAAACCCCCTTGCTGCATCTGGTGTCCCTATAGAAGGTAGCACCTCTGTGACAGGCCAGCAGGGAGCAAAAGAAGCTCTGTTACGTCATGGAGGAAACAGCTCTCAGGGTCTGCCAGCACTGGGCAGGCTCACCCAGGAAGCCAGACTGCTGTCTGCTTCACAGCCCACTCTGCCTCACCGCTCCTGGGCTGGATTGCAGCCTCACCCGCCCCTTCACAGGAAGGCCTCTGGTGGGAATTTGCTTGCAGCTCCCTTTCTGGCAGGGCAGTTAGCCAGGGGAAGCAGTGCGGGAATGCTGACATCTAACAACCCGGTTCAGCTAGTTGCAAATATAACATTTAATGCACAAGCACATGCCACAGTGCCAGTCCCGCTCACTTTAGCAAAGGTTATCTCTGCAAACACCAGCACTTACACACAATCTGCCTCTCATACTGAACCTTTACCCATACCTATAGCTGCACATCTGCCTCCCGCTGCCTTGTTGCCATCCTCCTCCATTCCAAAGCCGGTTCAGCTCTCTTCTGCCACTGTTTCTCCTGCACCCACCCCCTTGTCTCCTATTCTTTCCCAAACCCCTCGCCCTAAACCAATCTCAATGACTCCCTCTGGCTCCTCCTCCCCTCCTATCTGCTCCACACCTTCTTCAGCAGGAACAAACACACTGTTGCTGTCATCAACTCCGCGTCCCAAACCCATCCCAGCACCCTCCCCCCCCGCTCATCCTCCCCCTCTCCCTCCTCCACACCACCTCCATCTTCTGTTTCTAGCCCTGTTCCTTTGCCTCAAACTTATGGGTCCAAGTCGTCTCTTACCTCTTCTTCTCCACCCTCACCCTTGACCAGCTCTTCTCCACCACATCCCCAGAGCCCTCGGGCCAAAGCATCAAACACACCTCCATCTGCTTCTCCATTGTCTGGCTCGAGTCCTAACCACACTCCAATACCTTCTCCAATATCAACTCCCAATCTCCGCAGTCGCTCTTCTACCCCGTCCCAAACTCCTACCCTAACAGCTACCCCTGTAACTCCCACAAAGACACCCACCCCTACACTTTTCTCCTCTCCGACCCCTGTTACACCGGTCCTCCCCCTAAGTAAGTCCCAGTGTCCAACTTCTCTCCAACCCTCTGTCTCCAGAGGCCCGACTTTGAGCCAGGTCCCAAAACAGGCCTCACCTCTGACCCCAAACCAAAGTGCGTCTCCTTCCCCAACACCAGTTAGCACCAGTCCTTCAACTAAAATAACTTTTTCAGTTCATCCTGTAAAGCAAACCCCTGCTTTCGTTACTGTAAGCCCTTCTTCGGGCTCAAGTCATTCAAACAAACCATCCACAAAGACAACGTCGTCCTCATTAACTTTAAGCCCAAACCCAAGCTCATTTAACCCCTCCTCTCTTAGTAACACCCTTTCTGCCATCCCTACCTCTCCTGGTATTCAATCCGCCTCCGCCCAATCCCCAAAACAATTACTTACCACAGCTGCCCCTGCTCACTCATTAAAACTGAAATCAACTTCAACACCTGCCAGTACTTCTCAGGCATCCACCCCTACACCCAACAAGTCAGCACATGCAGCCGCCCCTGCCAACAACACCTCCTCCTAAGGTGGTAAAAAAAGACCCTCAGATACCAGAGGAACTAAGAGACTTCTCCACTTCTCGCCAACATGTAAGACAGAAGCAGTCTCAAAGGATGTTGATGAGCCATGCATATACAGTTTTACCAGAGTTGGCATCAGACATCAAATGATCTCATGTGGACAGGTACATCTTGTTCGCATTCACTTTAGGATGTGATTGTCTTAGAACATCAGGTGTTCATGTGACTCTCCACCAAGCCATCGATTAAGAAAAAGACTAAAGCGTCTGGTGACAGAAGAGTCCAAAATACATCCAAATGTATACATACATAGAGTATCTTTGTGAGTGATTGTTGGAGCAAGCAGGGGAGCTGAGGTGGAAACAATATACGCAGAAAATGGGATAGAAGCAACAGTTGAGTCAGAAAATATTCAAGTTCAAAGCCTCCATTTTCTGGACAAAAAGCAATATGTGAAAACAACTGAGGCTTTTCAAATGTGACAAAAAAAAAAGATCCTGACGATAATAAAAAATGTGAGACAACAGCATTTATTCCATATTTCTCAAAGATCATGCTCAGGGTGAAAACCTCAAATGATGTTAAAATACTGTACTACTGTGTTCCAATTTGTAAGCTGAAAAAAAAAAAATCAAAATCTGAAAAGATAACAGGCCACAGCCGAAAACAATACTAAAAATGTGTTAGCTATGGCTCATGTGTATTGAAGTGTGACTTCTGAATTTGTCCCCTAAGCTGACTGACAACCACTGCTGCGTATCTGGTAAGAATAAGGATGAGATTTTGTCCTTCACTCGGGGTAATTACATAAACTCCAAACAAAGTTGCAGTCCTCTTCTCTGGCAATTGGCTAAATGCTAACATTAGCTGTTTACTTACCATAACCAATGACTTATCAAATGTGTTTTTAACATGAAATAAGGCCTGATTATACTTTTCTTTTTGTTGTAAATAATCTTTTTAATTGCTGGCTTACAAATCATAATTAGTTTAATGATGATTTGCCGGATCCCCAATGTTAAACTGACTTCAACCAGGGTCACAGCAGACTATAATAACATTTTTAACAACAATTGAGTTTCTCATCCTTAGGACGCCATCAGAGAAAAATGGCTGCCATTTGAATATGATGAATACAAGAGAGAATGGTTTCCAGCTCCAACTCCCTCTTGCCTCCCATTCTGCACCAAAGTGTAATATTTTCTCATCCGAATAATGGTAATATAAGTATATAGAGTTTCAAAATCATTAAGAACTCAATATTCATATGAATTTGAAAAATTAGGACCAGTCCACTGGTAGTTTTGTTGTCTAAGGTGTGTGGTGTTTAGTTTTTGAACAAAGACAAAACTTTTAAACTTTTAAACCTATGTGTTCACTCTCACTCTGTAATTTTTTTTTTTTTTTGTGCAACAAACAATATTGCTCTTCAGTCCACTGTGGCTTTCTTGATTTTGTCCCTTCTGTCTACCCGTCCTGTAAATATGTGTCTCTTTGTGGGTCCGTTGTATGCTTTCTCACCCTCAGCCTCTCAGTCTTTCATCTCTTGTCTGTCTCACAGCCTTTCATCTGATTTCACAGCCCTGGTGGCTAACTGTTTCTTTGACGTTCACACACTCTCTCCCTTTCTCTCGGTTTCCGCGACGCTTTGCTCTGTGCTACCATCAGCCTCATGTTCATTTTGCCGCTCCTTCTGTTGCTCTCCAACACTATTTCAATGCCATTTCCAGTGATGTTTGATGTTTTGTGTGGGTAGCAACAAGGCACTTTTGTCTTAACCCTTGATACCATGTTGCCTAGATGATACATTTAAGGACCAAATGTTTTATTTTGTATTTATCACAGCTATAGCTTTTGAACAGAAAAAACCCCAGCTAATAATGGTAACACAGTGATGATGTTGAGTGTGGTGTTGTTGAAGGTGCTGACTATGATTATGATGATGACAACCATGATGATGATGATGAGGATGATGATGATGAGGAGGATGATGATGGTGGTGTATATCTGGAAGTAAGAATAAAGACGGTTTAGATATCATCTTGTGGAGTTTGTTGAGGCATGATCTCATTACATGCACAACATATTTAAACACATTAACAGTAACCTTATGTGAAAACAGACAACATAGATAATGTTAGCTTAAATTTAAATGTTGATGAGTTGGACATTTTGATTGTTTTCTGAGCAGATCCGCACAAATCACTTCTAAATGTGTGAAGTTCCGAACAGACCATTAAACCACAACGCTGTTAATAAAAGAGTCATAGGAAGTCCAGGAAAAAAAACCCATCTGAAATAAAGTGAGTTATAACGACATGGACAAGGACTAACATGAGGCAATTTTTTTTATTCCCAACGTTTTTTTTACATACTATTATTTATTGACTTCTGCTATTATTTTTACTTTACTTTGCTTCTCTTTAAACGTAAAGCTGTCAATTAACTGCTGTTTCACACACATCATTTCCTTGTTCTGACTCAAAAGCTTCTGTCAAAATAAAGAATTATAGATGAAACGATTTTACAGACCCCCTTTAGATATTTCTGACCCAAAAAAAACTACAAACAATCAATCAATCAATCAATTTTTATTTGTATAGCATCAACTCATGACAAGTGTTATCTCGAGACACTTAAAGCAGGTAAAAAGACCTTACTCATTGTTATGTTACAAAAAGCAGGTCAAAGACCTTACTTATTGCTATATTACAAAGACCCGGCCTATCCATCATGAGCACTTTAGCAAAGCAGCAAAAGTTACAGTGGTAAGAAAATACTGCCTTATTAAAAGGCAGAACTCTTCAGCCGGATCCCCGGACAAACACAACTTTTCACATTTAATTGAATCAGTTATACTCACTTACCTTTCTTATCATGTAGTAGCCTAGTATTTAAAGAAAATGATAGAAGTGAGTCCAAAATACCCAACACGTTTAAGTGACAATTGCATACCCTGCGGGTTGTAAAAACCTGAATATCTTATGAAAAACAAAATTCAGATCAAACTCCTTGTCTCTGGTGATAACTTTCTGTAACGCACACATTTTACCGTGGCATCTTCTGTCATTACCCTTTTAAAGAAAATGCACCAGAAAATGTACAAAGCCTAAAGATATTACCTTTTGAATAAATAATGACAAGGCCATTTGCATGTTTAAGTGTAAAAATCGATATAGGCCCATATGGTTAGGTAGGCTATAGAGGTACAAATGCTCAAAAGTATAGGCTATCAAGTTTCTACTTGCAACCACAACTTGGAAAAAACATTTTGTGGCAAATTTGACCAATCTCATCCTTTTATTTACATAGCCTATAGGCCTACATTTTTACTCCAGACAGATTATCAAGTGGTTCTATTTGGAGAGGACATCTTTTACTCAAATATGAACTCTGAGGATTTGGGACTCAACAGGTTTGGTGACTCGGCTTTTACCCTATATGCAGTGAACTAAACCGGTGTTTAGTTTGCTGTGTTTCATCCGCCACAGTCTTAGTTTTTCTTCTGGATCCCTTCTCTAATCCTGTAGCCTACCTATCACCTCACATCCAAGGTTAAGCTTGTGAATTTAAAGTTAAAATCTCTCTAGGACTTGGTTTAAACTGAAATTAAATCTGTTTTCATGAGAAAAGATTATAGGCTATCCTGCCCCCCCTGGAGGAGGATTTGCCAGTAAGAGTCAGTAAGCATTGCTGCTGTAAATATTTGATGATCTGATGCACTTTGGGAATCACCCTGACCTTTTTAATTGGGAACTGATAAGTGCATGTCATCTTTGACATAAGAGCACATGAGGGTTTTCATCGTATACTTTATGTTTCTAAATTTAAACAGTGAAGAAATAGCGTAGTTTTGTTGAGGAGGCCTCAGTTTATTAGACACTTGGGATTAAAGCCTGCTTTCTTTGCAGTGACCACTAGATGGCGATGACACTTTAAAAATCCAATCAACACAGCGTGAAGAAGAGAGGCGTCTTCACAATAGTTGCTTTTATATTTCTCAAGTAAGCCTATGTGTTTCTGCAGTAACATGAGAGAAAAGAAAATCAACTAAAACGGTGGGAAAATTGAACGTGAAGAGGTGAGGCCATTGTAAAGCAGGAAGACATTGGACCACATGGGTCCAAGAGGTTAATGATGACAGACGAGCCTGGATTACAATCCATGAATAGAGGTGGGAGGATAAATAGGTCTGTAATTGCTGCCTATCATTCTGCCTCTTAAAATAGAGTTAGAGAGAAGTCTTAGGCTGTACTGTACTTTATACTAACTGGTTTGCAGGCAGGTAGAAGGTAGCCTAAAAGAAGCCTTTATTACTTTAAATTGAATACATGCACAAACAGAAGGTTGTTGTTCCTGCATGTCCAGTCACTGGATTGATTGAAGATTAATCCAGGCACAAAATGATGGGCCTTTTTAACTATATAGTGGTTTCCAAAGTCCCGGCCCGGGTTCAAGTCTGGTCTGCGGCTCCTTTCCTGCATGTCATTTCCCACTCTCTCCCAATCTCCTACTTTATCGACTGTCCTAGAAAAAAAGGCAAAAAGCCCAAAATAAATAAAATAAACAAAGATTAGAAAAAAGGGCGTTATCATAATAATATAATTAATCCTTTATTAATCCCACGAGGGGAAATTCAATTGTACACTCTGTCTAATGAACATGAACACACACACAGGCCGAGACACACACACATGCACAAACAGGATCCTATGGACATGCGTTAATGGAGAGGTCTCAGAGTGAGGGAGCTGCCCACAGTGAGTTAGTTGCCTTGCGCAAGGGCACCTCGGCAGGGCTCAGGAAGTGGACTGGCACCTCTCCAGCTACCAGACCAACTTCCGGACTTGGTCCGTGCCTGGACTTGAATCGGCGGCCCTCCGATTCCCAACCTAAGTCCCTACAGACTGAGCTACTGCCGCCCCCTACTACATAGTAACTAAATATGACATATACAACTATGTAGTGGAATTGGATTAAAACAAGCTTAAAATAGGACTAGGCTACTTATTACAGTATTTTTGCATACATTTTTAGAGACTTTCCACCATTGGTCACACTTTGTGCTACCGGTTCCACATTATATTCCCTTCAATAGTTTCATCAAGTGTAGAGGGGTAAACGTGTATCCTGAATTTAACAATCAAAGTAAAAAATAAATAAATAAAATAAATAGAAAAGATTACATCAAACATAACTACGAAAGAAGTCTCGACTCCACTGTGGTTGAACAAAATGTAAGATTTGGTAACGCAACATGTGAGCCTATAAAGTTTTACGTCTTTGGTAGCTAAACCGCAGAATAAGCACAGATTTCAGGGTAGGGGAGGCGGTAAAAGGTGGGCTGTCAGAGCTCACCGCAAAATTATATATAGACTTCCTGTACCCTCACTTCAGAACCCACCATCACACACATACACACACACACACACACACACACACACACACACACACACACGCACAGTGAGAGACAGTCTCCTCCTGCAGCAGTCTAGGATGAGATTCAAACTTTGAAACGAGGTGATTCCCATACCAAAACCACTTCAAATAGGACGCATGTATGCAAGTGTTCAGAGTTGAGCTTTTTGTAGTGATATTAGACTTTTTGCTTCGCCGCGTCCCTGCTTGTCGTGTCACTGTTTTCACTGGAAAAAAAACCCATCATATTAGTATGTGCGTGCCGCAGAACTACCGTGTTTGAGTCTACACTTTCTTTCTCTTCACTGATTCACTTTTAGACAACAGTTAAAGTCGTTTTTAAAAGTCCCTCGTGTTGCCCTTTGCTTCTGCCCTCACACTGGATGTGACACATCCTCTATCACAGTTTCATTTAGCACAAAAGCTTGAATTATGTGTCAGCCTCAGTCCTGCAGCTTTTCGGAGTCTGCACGCACTGACTCCCACCTGTCCATCAGCTCCGGATGTCTGTACAGGGAATAATGCTGAGTCACGATAGGGAAGACGCGGGGGGGGGTGGCTCAAAGTCATTTTCGACCAAAAATGCTTTTTTCATTTTTCATTTTTGACAGGTAGGCTAACAAAAGGGCAGATACCATACACTTATGGCTGTATCCTACTTTGCCCGTGCACCTATGTGAAAAGATGCCCGATGGAGAGAGAGTCGCAGGAGGAGGAGCGGGGTCTCTAAACCTGTCCTCCCCTCTTCCCCTCCTCCTCCTCCACCGGCACCTCGACTGACATCGCTGCTGGCCTATCGCACCAGAGCGGGCCCCCCTCCCTCCCTCCCCCCCTGTGCCCTGCCCACCCTGGCGGTCTCCTCTCCAGCCCTGCCAGAGCCAATCCGCGGCTGGGCGTAAGTAGGGCAAGCCGCTTCCTGGTTCTCAGAAAGAAGGAGCAGGGAGTCAGAGTGGGCCAGCGGAGGCAGCAGACAGGGGGTCAGTGCAGTCAAGAGAGCCGGTGTGCAGAAAAGGTGGAGCGGAAAAAAAACGCCGACGCACGACTTGAGGAGAAAATTAAAACGTCCCCTGCGCGGAGCTGAGGACGACAAGAGTGGCGACCCCACCACCACCACCCCCTGTGTGGAAGAAACACTCGAGCTGGGAGAGTAAAAGAAGAAGTATAAGAAGTTGTCAGGGTGGGACGGAATAATCCAGGAAGTGTTGAGCCCAGTCAGGTGGGAGGCGACCGGTCTGAACAGGTGACACACCGGCGCTCAGGTAACAACTTCACCTGCCTGTTCTCCTTTTGAAATGAAACTAAAACGCATATGTAAGTTAAATGCGACTTAAGGACATGTCTGTTTGCCATGACAGCACCGACTCTCGTTAACCTATAGCCTCTCTCCTTCCCGGTTTGAACGGGGTCACGGGAGGACAATCCCACGTCACGGGTGTTCGGTAACTCCTGTCGACATTTATTCCCTCTGTATAATGCAGCCAGTGGGCGCTTCGGCTTCGCTTTTAAAATGAAACTCGGACTTTTATTTGTTAGGAGCAGGTGCTTCGGCTTCTGTTTGATGTATGCGCCCAGGTGAGGAGAGAGAGAGAGCGAGAGAGAGAGTGAGAGAGTGTGTGTGGGGTCGGCGGGTACATTTCTGGAGACTGGGCTGCTAATTATAGCAGAGAACACCGGCTGACATCCAAAACCTAACCTGCTCTCACGCACATCACCTGCCTCTCTGCTTCCATGAGCACGCAGAGCAGTGCACCTATGGGATTTAGCTTCCTGCACCCAAATCATGACCAAATCATGATGTCCCCCCTGCACACACTCATCAGTGGTCTGTTAATCATCATTATCATCATCACTATCCTCCCCATGGCGCACCCAGTGTTTTATTTTAATCCTGCCCACCATCCTGTGCTACAATAGGATGTGCTCAGGCTGTGTAATGTTAGGTTAAGGCTCCTTTCTGCCTACCTCATGGGTGGGGAGGGCTGCCATGCCAGTGGGCTTTTGTGTGTGTCATTACAGTCTGTGTTGCTGACTCGCCCCTCTGGCGGACCGGCCTAACAAGCTCAACTGGCTTGGGTTTGGTTTCCCTGTCTTGGGCACAGCCTGTTTGGTTAAATCTTTAGTTATCCATGAAGGTAGTTAATGTCTTCTGCCCTCCAGGCTCAGGTGTCGTCGCAGCTCCTTCAGCTCTCCTTGCCGTCTCTGAGGGGCCCGAACATCGTCTACAGGGACCTTTTTTTAATTTATTTTTATTTTTTTTGTGGGCTGAGGAGGGGGAAAAAAGTTTTAAAGAAGAAGATCTTTGTCGGATCTAACTGTTTTCCTCCCTGCGTGCCAGAGTTCTTCATGTGAGTGGACGTGTTTAGTGCTCTCTCTCGTTCTGGGCTGGTTCATCACACATGGAAGAGCCATCAGGGTTTTGAAATAAATTCTTAATGCCAGCTCTGTTTGCCCTATTCTGTCTGCGATATAATTGGACAACTGTGCCTCATTCCTCGTTCCTGCCGTCCTGACACGACCTGCATCCTGCTCGCCTCTCTGCAGGCCGTGTTCTCGCAGCTGATGCCTGTTTCCTTTGTCATTCTATGTTTTGCCTTTTTTTTTCTTGGAGCGCTAGTTATCACTTCTGTACAGTATGTTGTCATTCCTTTCATCTAAGGGAGGTTTCTGTAAGCTTGTGCGTGTGTGTGTGTGTGTGTGTGTGTGGGGGGGGGGGGGGGGCTTTCCAACAAAATACTGATTGTTGGGGAACATCTTTCTGAAGAAGTCAAAGTAGGAAGTGTTTAGTTTCTATCTGTCCTTTGTATCTCCATCCCTTTTCACAAGAATCCCCCCTCACACACACACACACACACACACACACACACACACACACACACACACACACACCGTCCCACATCTGATGTATCATGTGATTGCCTGTCTGTGTTTGTGATTATCCACATGCACTGTGGCTAGAATCATAAAAAAGAAAATAACACATGAGCCCCAATTAGTCAGCAGTTTCAAACTTATATTCTATTTAATAGAATAGCTTGCTTTTTTGTAAATGAATAATTCGAACTACCAATCAGGTTTTTCATACTAACGCTCCTTTTTCACACAGGTGTATAACCTCTGCTGACATCTGAACACAAGAGGAAGGGGGGTGCCGGAGGCAGAGGAAAGCAGGCAAACATCTTCTCCAGAGTTTATGGACTGGAGGTAGGAATAATTACAGTGTATATTATCTCATAAGCTGATCTATCTTTCCTTTCAAACACACTTTTAGTTATGCTTCTGTCTTGGTGAGTCCAGAGATGTAAAGAATATAACCTTGGATTTCAGTATTCTTAAAATCTTAGAATGAAGAAGTTTGTCGTCTAAAGGTAAAGTTGTTATTACCTGTTTCTAATGGCCACTCTTTAAGGTGAAGCAATAGAAGATAATAATGATGTTTTTGTACATGCCAAATAATGGTGCACACTTACATACATGTGTTGATTTTCCAGGTCTTTTTTAAATTAATGGTGTTAAAGTCAGCTCAACACAACAGAAATCAAAAATGTAATTGTGCAAAGATTGAGCAAAGAGTTTGACTTAAAGACCTCCAAACATGCCTTTTCCGTCTGCAGCCTACCGCTCGCTGCATGAAGCCTGACTGTCCTCTTTGAAAAGCTACTTTCTTGTGCTGCTGATCACTTATAAATGAAATGAAAGTTGTGTGGGGACCGAGGGGGGTTTGTTTGAATCATACATGACACCTTCACAGTACTTTTGGTGAGAAGCCAAAAAGAGTGAAGGTTAAACAAATGCAGCAGACGAGTATTTAGATGTTTGGTCGCAATGAATGTCGGTTTATTCTCCTGGACTTTCTTACATCTTCTAACATAACGCACTTGTTATCAAGTAAACACATCATCTTATAGAGGAGTCAGACAACTTTTGATCTTTCCCCGCTGGTTTTTAAATTGGTCTTTTAATTGTCGATGCTGCAGACACAAAGGCAACTGCATCATTTCAGTTTTCAACAAATAGAATGTAAGTCTGAACTAGAGATCTTTCTCTAAGTTGGACGTGGAGTAAAATACTTGGAAGAATTCAAATGTGACAAGGTTTTGCTTCGCTCTTCCCCATTTCTTTTCACTGTAAATCTGTCTTCATTTTCCAGTGAACTTGAAGCGGGTTGCAGTTAGAATGGCAAAATTTAATGAAGGTTTATACGGACCAAATCTTCACACTTTTTGGTCAAAATTTGTTTTGAAATAATAAGCAAAAGCAAAAAAAACTCATGTTATAAATTATCATCCCCAAAAACTAATGAGGAACTTGAAATGGCTTTTTTTCACCATCTATATGAATACAAAAAAACAGCTTAGAATATAATGTTGAAACAATTCATGAATGACAGAAATTGACCTGGATTATTTGAGTCATTGGAGCCCACTATGTGTCGGTGAAAAAAGCAAACTTCTAGATGTGCTTTTAGAAGTTTTATTTCCCTGTCATGTTTGATCAAAACGTCCACTCTGTAACTGTTTTATAGCCTGACAACTTTTCTTTTGTGCTTTTTTTCTGCCAGTTTAAAGCATAAACCCACTGTTGTGAAGATGAGACCACGTTAAACATAGTATTAACAGGATGAGAGGTTCTCATGAAAACATTGTTGTCCTTGGAGAATATTTAAGCCAAAGAAACAGTTTAATGTTTTATAAGTAACCTGTATGTTAACACCTCAGAAGATGCTTTATTTTCTTAAAAGGATGGCTCAGGAGTGATGCCAAAAATAAATAATTCCAATGGGCTGATGGGAGTTTTTGGTGCTGATATAATCCCCACAAAGAACGATGACTCTAGAAAACTTTGAAGATTAATTGATATTTAGTATAACAGTAATAAGCCGTTTTAAGAATTTGATTAAGCAACAGTGCCTTAATGAAGCTCAGTCGTCATTATATCTGTTTACATTCATATTGATTCCACCACGCTTTAATATTACTGTCCCATCCTGTGAGTTCACATTGCATCAGGGCATTGTGGAAGCACAGTGGGGGATCCACATACACAGTACACATGCACACATTCTGTGTCACCCTAACACCTCTGTTACTACCTCCAATGGCATCACAGGGACACATCTTTGTGACATTCATATTGAAGGCAGGCAGAGGATTCATTTCTACAATACCAACAACAAAACAGCTTATTAAGCTGCAGATTCAAATAATGCTAGGTCGTGTTTAAACCTTCTATGCCGCAACTGGAAAGAATATTTATTTTGTAGCGTGGATTTTTTTTTGGGGGGGGGGGGGCTCTACATTTATGTAGAGATAGGACAGTGAATAGAGCCAGAAATCAGAGACGATGCAAATTGAAAAGCACATACAAAAGTCCAAAACAAGTGCAACGAATAAAATGTGATGCAAATGGTACAAATGTTGTGCAGGAAGTAGAAACTACTTTTTTGGATACGTAATCTTACAAAAAAAACTTACGCACAGACACCTTGCAGACCGAGAAAAAAATGTCTCGCACTCCTTTCCAGTGATCAAGCTGTGCAGTTGATTTTGTGGTTCTTTCACTCCATGAAAAAAAAAAATCGCTCCCAGGCATATTTCAGCATGTCAGTGGTCCAGTTTGATATGCTGCTCTCTGTACTGGAACCACACGTTAAAAAAAAGAACAACAATTTCCGTGAAGCAACTGATCCTAGACAGAGGCCGGCAGTATGCTAGAGACACTACAGGGCTCAATGTGACAAAACACAGAATATTGAACCTGTTCTGAAAATATTAATAACGGATAAAAGTTTCGGAGTCAGTCTGCGAACAAGATTGACATTACATGAAATCGAAATTGATGCACGTCAAAAAAAGAAATACGGACGTAAAACAGACTCAGTATGTAATGGCCTATAGAAGAGGGTGCCTGTAGGGAAAGAGTGAGGGAGACAATGATGTGAATTTAAAGTTTCACCCTCAGGATGCATGTTGGCCACCGTAAGAAGGAATGTTACAACCTTAAAAAATAAGAAATAGCGGATGTATTTCTTTGTATCACCAATCTCCAAATTGAATAGAGAACATTATTGAAGGATTTGATCAATTCAATGATTCTTTGTTTCTGTAAGGACAGTGTAAATGTCAGTACGATAAAAGACTGGTTTCTAAGTGCAGTGTCTTTGCCAGATACATTTTTCTCTGACTGTGTGTGTGTGTGTGTGTGTGTGTGTGTGTGTGTGTGTGTGTGTGTGTGTGTGTGTGTGTGTGTGTGTGTGTGTGTGTGTGTGTGTGTGTGTGTGTGTGTGTGTGTGTGTGTGTGTGTGTGTGTGTGTGTGTGTGTGTGTGTGTGTGTGTGTGGTGGGCAAGTTCGAGTCACATCATGTGACTTTGGCTTTGTCTGGTGACAACCATGTGTCTGTGAACTGATGGGTAGGGGGAAGTTACAGCTAGTGGTCTATCGAACAAGGAACACACAGATACACACACATACTTACCCCACACACACTTATTCTCCCCCCCCCCCACACACACACACAGACACACACACAAACATAGGCATTAACACATACTGTATATAAATATATACATGCATGAACACAGTTCCAGGAAATACTTTAATCAGGGCATGTGAGCCCATGTAAATTCCCCCTTTTTCAGACGCGGGTCTTTCAGTTTCATACGAACCCTGTGAGTGGGAGGAAGGTGGGGAGAGAGAGTCAGAACGGGGGAATGAGAATGGGAGTCAAAATAACTTAAGGTTTTGTCTCTGACCTTTATGTTTGAAGTTGTCTCACCTTTTTCTCAGGTTCCCCATCACCCCACCTGTGAAACAACCTGCAAAAATCTCTCATGTTCTCTATGTTCACCCCCCCCCCAAAAAAAAAAGCTTTTAACCCCAAATGCAAGAAAATGGGTAAGAAATGTGGCTCTGTCAAAAAGAGAATATTTCAAGAAAAGGTTTGTCATTGCGATTGTTACAATGCTGTAACTTTGTTTATGATTGGTAGTGACCTTTGAACTCTGTACAACTGCGCATTTTCACCATATATGGCGGTTGTTTCCTCACTGATAGAGGCAATAATGCCTCAGGGGTGACTATACAGTGTCCGTAATCCAGACTGCTGCTACTACAGTTGAGTCTTGCCCCCACTCGATCTGTGTCAATAGAGGAAGTTCTGTATCTGCCATTTCCTCTTTTCAGTCATGAGTTTCTGTAGCATTTGACAACCCTCCCTCGCTCTCGACCACCGGCTGCGCAGCCCACGCCACCCCTGCCTTAACCAATCAACAGGTGGCTGTGACTCTTCTTCTTGTAAAGAGTCGGAGAAGATGAAAGAAAAAAAACTAACAGTGTTTAAGAAAAAGTGATCATGATTCAGCTCTTATGGTAACAGTGCAATTGTTTCTGTACGCTCTGAGGGGGCGGTTATTATAAATAAGTACAGTGAGACAACATTTCAGGGAAAATGAGAATAATTACTCAAACATGAGCTGGAGATGGGAGCTGAAACTGACCCTTTACATGTGATCTTTGAAAGGGGAACCCCAGCAGCTCACCTTCCCGTTTGGAAAAAAAACCATACACATTCTGTGGGTTCAGGGCAGAGATAAACAGCTAATAAAAACAGCCCCCCGCCGCCCCCCTCCCCCCCAGATGATCCAAATGATATCTAACGTTGTGCTACACAAAATACTTTTGTTGCATCATTGCACAAGCAATCGTTATTGTATAAGGACATGTGAAACATAAGTATTTTCATGATTGAAATCTTTTTCTTTTTAAACCTTCTTTTGGACCAAAATATCATCTTTTAAGACTGCAAGAGACAATCATAACTGGCTCGTGTTGTCAGTTAGTCGTACGTCGGCTTTTATTTTTTGTGTTGTTAGTCAGCTGCACCACATGTCAAGATGGTTCATGAAGTTATTCTGAAGTTCTGAAATAATTGATGGATTGTAGTCACAGTAAAACAGAGTCTCCTCCCCGTCCTTTATTTCTAACTTGTTGTCCGGTAGATTTGTCAGGATGGTGACACATCTAAAACTTGTGTCCTCTGATTGTGTTGTTCCTCGACGCGCCCCTACAAAAACGTCATATTGTTCTCTTTGCTTAATTCCTCTCTGTTTTTACTTGTTTGCTGTGTGTCATTTTATCTCTCTATCTGCTCTAGTGTTCTGCCATCTTTACTGAGCACAGGAAGAGGAAACTGATCAGGATCTGTT